AAGAACAGAAGAGATTGCATCCTCTACAGAGCGATTCTGCCGATAAGCAAACTGAAGTGGACCAAACAAAGGAGGAAGTCTGGAAACAATGTAATCCTTCATCAGCATCTCAAAAAAATTCCATCACAATGGGAGTGAGTGCTATCGGGCGATAACCACTGAGGCATGTGAGATTTTTTAGGCACAGGTATAATAGTCGCAGTCTTAAAGCCTACCAGGACCACAGAAATGCAAAGAAGTATTGAATATGTCTGTGAGGAAACCGCCCAACCCTCAGAACCCACCCTGGAATATTATCTTGGCCCGCTGCTTTCTGAATATTAATTTTTCTCAGGGTCCTGCAAACATCAACTATATCAAGGGTAGGTGCCTGCTCATCAGGATGAGATACAGCCTTCCTCGCAGGAGCATTGTTAAATGCTTCAAACCTACCAAAAAACCTATTTGGTTCATTAAGAAAGTCTATATTCTCCTCACATGATGTTGGAGTAGTCTTATAATCTGTAATAGTCTGAGTACCCTGCCACATACGCCTGGTATTTGTAGAATCATGAAAAAAATTCTGAATTTTCTGACCATAAGCCTGCTTTGCTGCTCTTATAGCCCAGTTCAGATCAGCTCTAGCTGTTCTAAAAGCCCCCATATTGCCAGACTTAAAAGCAGCATTCCTCGCTTTCAACTTCACATATACTTCAGGAGTCATCTAAGCTTTCTGATTCGACCGTAAGATGATGTTCTTAGTAACACTGACATCCTCCATACACTTCTGGATATATGCATGTCCCAGTCTGTACACTCAAAACAGCCTTGTAATGCTTCCATTGCTCCCTCGGGCCAAACTCTCGCCTGCTTCACAACTGGTTTTTCTCTAGTTAACAAAGGCCTATATGCTGGGATTAGCATTACAGTGAGATGATCTGAGGAACTGAGATTGGGGTGGGGGAAAGCCTTAAATGCCCTCTTAATGTTAGAATAGGCTAAATCCAATGTGTTCCTACTCCTGGTTGCAAAATCCACATATTGATGGAAATGAGGACTGTTTTCAAGTTAACCTGATTAAAATCTCCAAGTACAATAAACACACCCTCTGGGTGGATAGTTTGCAAGTCACTGATAATATGATAAAGGACTTTCAAGATCTCCTTCATATTTGCAGAGGGGAGTATATACACAGCTGTAATAATAACAAATTCCCTAGGCAAATAAAAAGGTCTGCATCTGATAGTTAACAGCTCCCCATCAGGCGAACAATAAGTTGAAACCACCTTTGAGTTGATACACCATCTGTTATTGATATAGATGCATACTCCACCACCTTGAGTTTTTCTGCTAAGAGCAAGACTCCTGTCCAGTTGGAACATTGTTAACCCCTCCGTGCCAACAGCCTTCTCAGGAACAGAAGACTTGAACCATGTCTCCGTCAGTACTATAACACAGCAGTCTTTCACCTCACACCTTGTTGTAAAATTCAACTTCAAATAATCCATTTTGTTCTCCAGAGAACGAACATTAGTAAACAAAATGGATGGAAGCGGCGCTGTAAGTGGGTTAGCCTTCAGTCTTGCCGTTAGTCCTCCCCAGCTCCCCCGCCTTCGCTTTCTATCACACTGCCTCCTCCTCTTCCTCCTCTGTCTCCTCCATCTCCTCACAAAGCAGCCAATGCCAGTGAGAGACCCCACAGTCCTGTAAGTCTCCCGACCTTGCTGACGCAGCAACGTAATCTCCCCAAAACAGCAGGATGCCTGTTGTATGTCTGCAGTTCCAGTATATGTCGCTGGTCATATAACAATCTAACTACACAACTTTGCTGCTCAGACACTAAACTATTGAAAGCCAACGCAGCCGCAGCTAAACAAGGCACCGCCATCTTGAATAGTCTACAGGTAAAGTTTCAGTTGGAGTGGCTGGGTGGAAATTCATCAATAGACGGAGCCATATCAGTTGACAGTATGAATTTCCACCCTGTCACCCCAACTGAAACTTGATTACTGCCTATTATACACCCCCAATCCCATATCTCACCTTGGATTTGAGGAACTGAATGGCTTTGCTATTGTTCTCCAAAAAGTGAACCCTCATCTTGCCTTTGTTTGGCCTGGGTAGTTGTTCAGAAGACAGCAGCTCCAATAAGCGCAGGAGATAAATACCATCTTTCAGTTCAGTGTAGAGATCTTGAATCTTAATGTTTGCCTACAAAATTAAAGGACCACAAATAAAGCCAACACCCATAGCATGAACTGATGTCATGTTCTTATTGTTATCTTGCTTATGGAAACTATGACATGAACCTGATGTTGGACAATGGGAAATAAGCATAATAGTTGCTATTAGACTGCTCAATAGTAAACAGGAGAGAGGCAATGCTCTTTTATCTTGACCGAACAGGTGAGAGCTATAGAAAAAAAGGCGGGATCAAATACCCTATTCCATGAATGAAGTTCTATTTCCAAAGCTTTTCTGCAGAAAATTGTTCATGCTGTTATAGTTTAAAAAACAATAAAATGAATCACAGATTGTATAGATTGGTCAAATTAGAAGAGGAATTTGTTAATATCAGCAAAGAAGTGTTTTAAGGGGTCATATATGAAGAACATTACAAGAAAGCTACCTACATTGTGTTTGTAGAAAATATTATTAAACCAATTGGTGAATGTTTTCTTCTGCATGATCATACGTTGTGCTTGCAACTTCCTGAATTGTCCTTGTACATAGTCTTCTTCCATGGTGCCCTAAAAACAAGAATATTCTAACATGACTCCAACAGAATCAACAAAGCATCAGATATCCCACCTTACTGCCAATTCCCGTCAGTTCTTCAGCTATTTGTTCTTTTTAACATCAAGGAAAGTCCACTGAACACAGCATTCTTTTCCTCCTCATTTCTGGATGAAAAGTATTGTTTCTTGTGAATAGGGAAGGTAGACCTATCAACTAATATACGTCTACCCAAAATCAAAGAGCTTCTGTGGATGCCTAAGTTAGATAAAGGTAGTATGGTCTTTGGGTTTTGTTACTTAATAATGAAGTGATCTTTTATTATGGTATATTGTTTCTTATGTGTTATTATCACAAACACCCAAGAATCTTTGGGATTACAAAAGGTAGTAAATCGAGAGAGGATCACCATAATAAACGTATGCATTGAAAACACTTCAAATGGTACTAAATAAGATAACATCTAACCTTAAACTTAACATTTTAAACTTCTTATTTGAAAACAAAAGAAATTGTAGAAGAAACCTTGATTCTCAGTACTTGTTTCCCTTCATTACAAAGAACCATGTGATCCATATGAAGACACCATCTCTGAGCTGTGACATTAACAACAATAAATTCAGGAACAGATATGGTCTTTTAGAGAAGCTATATTGGCTGGGAATGATAGAATCTGGAATTGGCTGGGAAAGCCAATTTAAGCAATATAGTGAGTCAGCAAAACCTTAGCTGGTACTTATACAGTTAAGATTTAATTTATTAGTTTTTAAAAATAACATTAATCACTGGGTTGTTGGCAATAACTTGATTATGTGCCATCAAGTCTTTGTTGACTCTTAGTGACCAGACAGATAGATTTTCTCCATGATGATCTATCGCTAACCTGGTCTTTCAGGTCTTCCAACGGTGCACTCATCGCCACTGTAACTGAGTCCATCTGCCTTGCTGCTGGTTGTCCTCTTCTTTACCTTAGCAAATACAGAACAGATGTATAGGTAGCAAATAGGCTGAGGATCTATTTTTCAACTTATGAATCTCAAAACCAGTTAAGGAATCCTCTGGTCCAATTCCTGCTTCTAATTCTACCCAACTGCTTATATCATTTAACTCTGCACATCTTTTATGGTTTCAAGATGTTTTCTCACAGATTTCATTCCAGTCTGTATTCCCTGGAAATTTTATAAGGTCCCCAGACCTGTGTTTCTGAATATAATCCAGTTTCCAATCCTTTTTCTCTAACGTTACCCCCAACTCCAGCAAATGTTTATTTTAATAAAATTGAAACACTCCAAATTAAACAGTCTCTTCATTCATCTCTTATTAAGATTCTTGCTTCTATTGCAGAAAATCCCCTTTTTCTACTACAAGAGCTTTCTTCTAAGAAGCAAGGATGACCTGTGATTTAAAATATAAGCACATCTTTAACGGTGCCAGGAATAGTTCCAGCACATATTTTTTTTATGCAGAAAACAAGAGGATCCTGTAAAATCTGCACTTACCTAATCTTGTCAAGATGTCCTTGTTAAATACAGAAAATAGATATTCGAAGGATCGGAGAGGCTCTTCATTCAAAACCCGTAGCCTATTTGTGCACACATAGTGAACTTTGAATGCTACGATAGCAAGAAAGTATTTATAATCTTTATGTAAAACATCTGACCAAAAAAGAAAAGTTGATTAGAACATTGGGGGTAAAGGTTCTTGGCAAAAGGGTTGTGCTAAATGACACATTCAGATCCAGCACTTCAGATTCTGATATAAAACAAGTGAAGGTGAACCTAAGCTTCAGCTATATGGTTGCCACAGAAAAGAAAAAGGGGTGCTTACCATGCCACATTGGTGCATGTGCTTGTACAAGACTATAGTTGGCAACAATCATTTAACCTAAATAAACATCAAGTTGGAATTAGAAAGGCACAGTTCAGTAAACTTTTTACAGTAGCGAAGTGTGTGTGTCTATGTATAGGCATCTTATATTGTACATGTACATAAGTATGTAAAATTTGTATACAAAAGTTTCAGTAATGGATGACCACATTTCATTATAATTGTCCATGTGCAATCTACATCTATAAGCAACATGTTTTTCCTCTTTTTATTTTTTCCCTCGTTTAATGACATAAAGGCAAAACAACAGCAATAGCCCTATTTGAATGACATCCCCCCCACTCCCAGGTCTATTCTAGCCTTCTCTGACCCGATATCTCCCATATCTGATTTCCTAACAGAATTGTGGGAACTGCTTTACGTGGAAGATTAATTCTGAATGCTCTTCCTCCTTAGGCCAACAAGAGTAAAATGTAACACTAGTAGGTTGTGCAATCTAATGGTGTCCATAAAAAGCTATGATGATGTCAAAATGAAGACGTAAGTCATGATGTCACTGAGCAAATGGTACATTGATGTAATCTCATCATGATATCGGAAACAAGTACACGAGTTGCATCATTTTCATGATGATGTCATGATGCACGTATCATCATTTGCTCCTCCTTACCCCACAGTGGATGCCCATGGATTGATATCTACTATGCTTGGATGTAGATATCCTCCCATACTGATGTTGAAAGCAATTGCTATCCATATGAAAAACACAGTAATTTTCTGACTGATGCTAAGAGCAAGAGAGGTGCTAAATCTATTAAGTAACTGGATATTTATTCTATCAATTGGAATACTATCTTGGGGTTGATATCAAGGAAAAGGATTAAGGTTAGGGACAGAACAGGATAAAAAAGAATTGGATAATACTGAATTAATTTTACTTGACACTGACATTAAAATAATTTATATTCGTTAATATGATTACTTCCACGTGTGTAATAGTTACCCCTTCTATCCAGTTAAACACTATAGCTCAGAAGAGATTTGGAGGCACATCTGAGTTGGGCATTCCTTCCATTGTTAATCTGAGCTTTTATCTGAATTTCACTAGCGTTTTATTCACATATGACGACTGACTTTTGTTCTGTATTTAGCACAGAATATTATTTTGCAGTAAAGCTGCAAGCACAAGCAACAAAAAGGAAGGACATAATCAATAAACTGAACTAAAAAAAGGAAAAATAAACCCCTTGATGGCAGTAATTTGATAAGCAAAATGCCCGGCTATCTTTATCTTGTTTGCTCTTATAATGGCCCAGAGCAATAACTCAGGTTTCTTCCTTATTTCCTGAGCCTGGTTCCTACTGCGTACACAGAGGGCTCCCAGGAATGAAAACACTATATTGAGATTGGTAGAATCCTAGATTTCAAAAGGGCCCTTCAGGCCACTGAGTCCAACCCCCTCTTCTCTGCTGCTTAATCCAAATTAAAGCATTCCAGGCCTCCATCTGAACCCCTTCAATGAAGAGGAACTCATCACCTCTTTGTGTAAATCAGTGTTTCTCAACCTTGGCCACTTTAAGATATGTGGACTTCAACTC